AGGCGAGCGAGTCAAAGTACCAAGCAGAGAGGCGCGAGAGAGGGGCGGCAAAGTCAAACTCAAAGTCCACTGAGAGGCGCGACTGTAATAGGAATGGGAAAGGGTGCAGTGAAACGCAATAGACGAATGTCAGGTCATGGGTTGTGAGACAGGAAAAGGGGCGGCTTGAAGGCGAGTGAGTAAAAGTACCAAGCAGAGAGGCGTGACTGGCGGTGGATGGGAAGGGGAGCAGGGAAATGCGATGTGAAGCTGTTGGTAAGTTGGTAACCACTGGAGTGGTTAACGATGAGCGAGTCAAAGTACCAAGCAGAGAGGCGCGAGAGAGGGGCGGCAAAGTCAAGCTCAAAGGCCACTGAGAGGCGCGACTGCGAGTGGATGGGGAAGACAGGAAGAATATGGAGATGTAATGGATTGTGCAACCAGAGAGAGGCCGGGCGCTGTTGAACGCAAAGGCCACTGAGAGGCGCGACTGCGAGTGGATGGGTATGGTATGGGTGCAGGGAAATGCGATGTGAAGCTGTTTGTAAGTTGGTAACCACTGGAGTGGTTAACGATGAGTGAGTCACAGTACCACCCAGAGAGGCGCGAGGGAGTCAAACGCGACTGAGAGGCACGACTGAGAGGCACAGCTGAGAGGCACAGCTGAGAGGCGCAGCTGAGAGGCGCAGCTGAGAGGCGCAGCTGAGAGGCGCAGCTGAGAGGCGCAGCTGAGAGGCGCAGCTGAGAGGCGCAGCTGAGAGGCGCAGCTGAGAGGCGCAGCTGAGAGGCGCAGCTGAGAGGCGCAGCTGAGAGGCGCAGCTGAGAGGCGCAGCTGAGAGGCGCAGCTGAGAGGCGCAGCTGAGAGGCGCAGCTGAGAGGCGCAGCTGAGAGGCGCAGCTGAGAGGCGCAGCTGAGAGGCGCAGCTGAGAGGCGCAGCTGAGAGGCGCAGCTGAGAGGCGCGACTTTTAGTTTTTTTACCGGAAGGGGAGCATGAAGATGCAATGCAAGATGATCACATGATAGATTGTGAGAGGGGAAAGGGGATCGCCGATGCTGAACTCAATAGGCCTCTGACAGATGCCAACTGCCAGTGCATGGCAACGAATGTAGTGGAAAGGTAAGTTCAGTGAACATTAGACATTTGGGGGCTGCAGCATTCTTGCACGTCATGCCACGGAAGTGACATGGCATCTAAGCAACAAATCCAACCCCTTCCCCCTTTTTCCCTTCTTACGGTAAGTTCGAATGCTGCCATGCCCCGTTGTATTCATCCTGTTCCCCATTCCCACTCCCTTCGCTACCTGCACGCACTCTCTCCCTCCCCCTGCCCTTTCTTTTCCCCTGCTCCGCCTCCCACCCCCAACCCCCCCACTACCTGCACATATGGCTTGAGGAACAACACTCGCAGCTTCCACGGCCACTGCTGCAGGCTCACCTCCGTGCCTTGCTTGCTCATGCACGCCAAACCCTGCCAGACCCACCCATACCTTGCTTGCCCCAATCTCTCCCCTCCCCTGTCCCCTCGCTCCCCACTCCCCTTCCCACTCCCCTTCCCACTCCCCTTCCCACTCCCCTTCCCACTCCCCTTCCCACTCCCCTTCCCACTCCCCTTCCCACTCCCCTTACCCTTTCTCTTCCACCTTCCCCTCTTCCCTCACTCTCCCCGTACCCCTCTACCCTCCCACCCACCCTCAACCCCCCCACTACCTGCACATAGGGCTTGAGGAACACTCACCCATACCTTGCTCGCCCCAATCTCTCCGCTGCCCCCTCTACCCTCCCACAACCACACTACCTGCACATAGGGCTTGAGGAACACTCACCCATACCTTGCTCGCCCCAATCTCTCCGCTGCCCCCTCTACCCTCCCACAACCACACTACCTGCACATAGGGCTTGAGGAACACTCACCCATACCTTGCTCGCCCCAATCTCTCCGCTGCCCCCTCTACCCTCCCACAACCACACTACCTGCACATAGGGCTTGAGGAACACTCGCCGCTTCCATGGCCCGCTGGTGAACGCCTGCTGCAGGCTCACATCCTTGTCCTGTCTGTTCGCCCAGGACAAGCCTTGCCGTACCAACGTTTGATACTCCGCCTCCGCTGCCGACCACCCGGGATCCCTGTATCTCTTCCCCTTGGCTGTGAATTGTATTTCCCGCCCGTTCTGCCGCCCAATTCTAAGCTTGAATTTTCGAGCTAGGGCGGCAATAGGGTTACCTGGAGCAGGGGGAGCAGAAGGGCAGGGGCAGGGGGAGCAGAAGGGCAGGGGCAGGGGGAGAAGCACAGGGAAAGGGAAGGAGAAGCGGAAGTGGAGAGAAAGGGGAAAGGGTGAGAGCGAAAGGGAAGGAAAAGGGAGTTCTGTTGGAGAAAGGGCTGATGGAACGAGGGTTAAGAAGGGCGGTTACCAGCTTACCTCTGGCGATGGTAGGTGGGTTACGTGTTGTATGCAGTGGAAACCGGGTTACCCTGGCAGTGGTAACCACGTTACCTGTGCCTGGTGGTAACCAGGTTGCCCGTTGCCTGTTATGGTAACCTGGTTACGGTTACCTGTGGCGCCTTCGATCCACTGTGCGCCCATCTCGCCTCGCAGGAACGCAGTGGGCGAGCCGGCAGGGGCGGCCTCCGTTCGGCTCCACATGCGCCCGCCCACCCTTCCGCGCGCCTCCACCACCGTCACCTGGGGGGTGGGTGGAAGGGGGGAAAGGGGAGAAAGGAAAGAGATGAGAGACCACATGCAACAACAGCCCAGCCCACCCGACCGCGCGCCTCCACCACCGTCACCTGGGGGGAAGAGGGGGTAGGAGGTGGGGCAGGGGGTGGGGGTAGGTAGTAGAGATCAGAGGCCGATAGGGTCCAATTGCAACAGCCCCGCCCACCCTTCCGCGCCCGGCGCGCCTCCACCACCGTCAACTGGGAGAGAGGGGGAAAGGGGGGAAAGGAAAGAGACGAGAGACCACATGCAACAACAGCCCAGCCCACCCTGCCGCACGCCTCCACCACCATCACCTGGGCTGGGAGGAAGGGGGAGGGGCGGGAAAGAAGAGGTGGGAAAGGGGACAAGGGGGAAGGGAGAAGGGGAAGAGATGAGAAGATCTGCCTGCCGCGCGCCTCCACCACCGTCACCTGGGGGGTGGGAGTGGGGGAAGGGGAAAAAGAAAGGTGGGGAAGGGCGACAAGGAAGGGACAAGAGGATGAGATGAGAAGGCCTGCCGCGTGGCCCCACCACCGTCAACTCGGGGGGGGTGGGTTGAGCGGGGAAAGAGGAGCAGGGGCGAAGGGAACGAGGCGAGGGGAACGGATGGTCAAAGCCGCTGCACGAAGGAAGGACACACAGGAAAAAGAAGCGCATAGTGCGAGATTATATACAGAAACGTCAATGAACGTTTCAATAAACGTGTCAATATATTCGTGAAACGAAAGCGTTTATCGTGAAAGGCCCGACCTCAGCATTCACCTTGCACGGCCTTCAAGTGTTACCTTGAAGCATTCGCCGTTGGTGGCGGTGACGATGCGGTAAGCAGCCGAAACGCCCGACATCCCCGCGCCCACCACCACCACCTGCCGCACCGATGAGCACGCCGCGTCCGCCGTTAGCGGCACGAGCAGCGCAGCGAGCAGCAGCAGCAGCGGCACGATAAGCGGAAGAGCACAGCCCGGTTGCCGTCTACCGTGGTGACCATGAGAGCATTGTTCCCTGCAGCGTCTAGGCCGAAAGCCGCGTTGCACCGATCTCAAGCGTTGCCGTCGCTGCATTGGCATTTAAGTTGAACGTATCGGGGCAAAAGTTTAGGGTGATGCTGGCGACGAATGGGAGAAGAACGAGAAATTGGATGGGAGGGGGGAAACGCTGGAAACTGCCCGAACGAGCGCCGAGGAAGGCGATTTGGAGTGATTGTCGAAGTTAGCAAGGAATTTAAACGGGGAACGGAATAGTAGTAGAGCGTAAAGTCGTTGGGGATAGCGGGCGGAATGCTAGGCCTGAGACGCGAGGGGACCTAGGGAACGAGAGGCTCTGCCTTGGGAGTGCAAGTTCGCGCCGACTTTAAATTTGCATGGTGCAAGTGCATTTTCTGGAAATTGTGACTGATAAATGGCCACTGGTTCACGAAACCGTAAGTCTCTCGCATCGACCACCGCAAGGTTTCCCTAAAGCTTGGCTTTTCCATTCTGCCCTGCTTGTTCCCAAACACCTCAGCGCCTTGCTCTCAATCTACCATCCACCCCAGATAAAAATTGAAGTTGGGTTGGGAGATCCTTTCTTGACCCACTACTACCATCATTTAATATGGTTGAGAGCGGTTTATTAGGAATTAACCGTGGCAGTCCGCACTTCTGTAGGGGCACTAATTACAACTGCGGCTGTAAGATGAAGCGGAAAGCATGCAGCATTTTGTGGATTGGGTTGGGGTTGGCGATTTGCCACCAACATTCTTCAAATTTCAAGCACACCTCTTGCCTCGCCCCCTTGACAGTTTGTCCAGGAACCAGGCTCTTAATCTCTCAAAACCCTGGGACTATACGCGATATCGCACTGTACCACTCTCGACAGCCTCGTCTGCTGGGGAACTATCAAGCCCGTGTCGGCTCGGCATGGCAGGATGTGGTTGGTTGACGTGTCTGATCTGAGCAGGCACGCAAGCTTTCGCCACCTCGTTACACGGTCGCGCAGCCATCACCCGCGACGACAAACGAAGTTCGTTTACACTATCATGGTACACGCATGTTACTGTAGTGTGACTGTCCTGCCTAAAGCGCAATTTGGTGAACGCTACAAGAAAGATTTCACTTAGTAAACTGATCTCAGCACCCCAACTCACCATTTCTCAGTTGTCCCAAGATGGGTGTACATAATTGCGGAGAGTCGCTATTTTATACCCATGATGTACACTTGAAAGACATCTGATCTGTACGTTCTGTAACAGGCACGTGACTCCCGTCTCATTAGTGCCTTACAGGCTGGACAGTTCCTAGGACAGGCTGAACAAATGCATGTGATTGGTTGCAGCAGGGAGGCAATCATTGGCTGCCCTCGGCCTCCTCCAGCTTCTGCACATGGGCCTTGAGGGTGAAGATCAAATCGCGAGCAGGCGCCTGCACAGGGGAAGGAGAGGAGGTAAGGGGCTCAGCACCGAGTGTTACAAAATATATTCATGATTCGGAAAACCTTGCGTTTCTGCACGTGACACAAGCATCTCACACGACTTGCATCCCTCTCAGCAGCTAGGAGCACACTTTGTCCCGCCTGGGTTTGGACTTGAAGCTCCGAATACATTTGTGCGTTGGAAAGCTTTTGTTTTCTTGCATTCTGCGCCAAGCAAGCACAGCTGGCAGTGCCGAGCGACTTCACTTAAAATTCATACTTCCCAACACCCCCCCCCCCCTCTCCACCCCCTTTAGCCGATGGTTGCATGAGCCCCAGCAGCTTCGAGTACACCTCGGCACAGCTGGGCAACACCATGAGGCACTTACACATGCACGCACACTTGCGCACACACATGCACTACTCACACTTGGCAGTTGGAAACCACGTCTCTGGCGGGCGAGTAAATAACCCCCAGCAGCTTCAAGTACACCTCGGCACGGCTGGCCGGGTAGCATCTCGAGCGCCTTTACTCAAACACCAAACCCGCCCCCCTCCACCTTCCCTCCCTCCAACCAGACATACATACACAAACGCACTGCAAACACCTGAAGGGTCGAAACCACGTCTCTGGCAGGCGACTGCATGACCCCCAGCAGCTTCGAGTACACCTCGGCACGGCTGGGCAGCGTTTTTCCTTTTCACCTTCACTCAAAGACCAGATACCCCCCCCCCCCCCCCCCCCCCCCTTTTCTCCCCACCTCCCTCCCACACCATCCCCAGCCCTCCTCCATCCTTCCATATGCATTCACACAAGCACAGGATGCACCTGGAGGGTCGACACCTCGGCACAGCTGGGCAGTGTTTTTTCCTTTACGCCTTCACTCAAAGACCAGATACCACCCACCCACCCATCCCCCCCTCCCTCCTCCCCCACCCAGCCCTCCTCCATCCTTCCATATGCATTCACACAAGCACAGTACGCACCTGGAGGGTGGAAACCACGTCTCTAGCGGGCGACTGCATGACGCCCAGCAGCTTCGAGTACACCTCAGCACGGCTGGGCAGCGTCTCAAGAGCGGCCATGTCTGCGGGGCTGTAGAACTTGCCCTCAAACACGGCGCCTGTGAAGTCGTTCTCCTCCAGCTTCAACTCCTTCTGCAGATCCCTGAAAGGGGAAAAGGGGGGGGGGGGGGGGTTGGGGAGGGAGGGGGATGAGGAGAGGGAGGGGGAAGGCGGAAACATGCTGATAGCTGGTTGAGCGACTCTGGTGGAAATAGCTCAGAATGTGAAGTCGTTCTCCTCCAGCTTCAACTCCTTCTGCAGCTCCCTGGTGTGAGGGGGCGGGGGGGGGGGAGGAATTGGGGGGGGGAAGAGCAGGGGGAAGGGGGAAAGTGGGGGGAAGGAGGTGGGAGGGGGGAGAGAGGCGTCTCAAAATCAAGGAGACGTCTCAAACGTTTGAAGGGTTGGAGCACGGGGGGGAAAGGGAGAGAAAAGGGGGGGGGGGGGGGGGGGGGGGGTGGATGTCTTCAGTAGCTGTAAGGTGAGAGGTAATTGGAATACTAGTATCTCAACACCATCAGCGCAGGCGCAGATTCTTGTGCACCTCATGGGTTTGAAAGCGCAAGGGATCTCCCTTTTGAGAAATTTCAAAGACAAATGAAGAGTGACGGAATGTTTCCCCAGGGAAACAAGCGCCCGTATCGTTTGAGGCGCCAGGGGAACAATTTGGTACCTGAAGGGTTACTAATTTATCCGCTCTGTAAACATGTACCTGAAGGGCTTGAGCGCGGGAGGGATCTCCTAGCCGTGCACGAAGAGAAAGGCGTTCATGCCGGTCATGGCCGGCTTGAGTGCCTGTGGTTGTGACCCCCAGTGCGAGAGGCGAACTGAATGCTCCCAGCGACTACTTGTATGTACCTGAAGGGCTTGAGAGCAGGCGGGATCTCCTCGCCGTGGACGAAGAGAAAGGCGTTCATGCCCGTCATGGCCGGCTTGAGCGCCTCGAACTCCGTCCCCTCTATAGCCTTCTCCAGTAGCGAGTTCTTCATCACCACCAGCGACGTGCTCTCGGGAAGCTTCCTGCGAAGGTCCGACATCTGCTTGACCTGCGGAAGGGGGGCAGAAAGGAGGGGGGAGGGAAAGGGGGACGGGTGGGAGGGGGGGGAAGGAGGGGGAGGAGGAAGAGGAGGAGGAGGAGGAGGTGGAGGAGGAGGAGGAGGAGGAGGAGGAGGAGGAGGAGGAGGAGGAGGAGGAGGAGGAGGAGGAGGAGGAGGAGGAGGAGGAGGAGGAGGAGGAGGAGGAGGAGGAGGAGGAGGAGGAGGAGGAGGAGGAGGAGGAGGAGGAGTGAACCGAGCGAAGCACCTATAAACCGAGGCAATTAGCTCTCATAACTGGCTGTCAGGTAAGAAGACGGGGATATGCTCGTGTGTGACCCGCGAACGCTATTTCAACGGCGCCTCGATTCACCATTCGCGGGTTAACGTCGCCACGGGAAACGCAGAGACAAGACACTCGTACGTGGCACCGGAATCGCTATCCGCAAGCTTCTTAGTTCCCTCTCGGCCCCCCAACCCCCCTAGACTCTCCATGGACTCCCCCAGGACCCCCCTGGACTCCATCTGGGCTCTTCTAAACTCCCCCTAGGTTCCCCCTAAACTCCCCCTAGGTTGCCCCTAAACTCCCCCTAGGTTCCCCCTAAACTCCCCCTAGGTTCCCCCTAAACTCCCCATAGGCTCCCCCTGAACTCCCCCTAGGCTCCCCTTCGGTTCGCCACGAAATATGCAGAGTCAGGGCGCTCGTACGTGGCACCGCGATCGCTATCCGCAAAATTCCCAGTTTCCCCTCGGTTCCCCTGAAACCCCCTGGACTCCCCCAGGGTTCTCCCTGGACTCCCCCTGTACTCCCCCCCTAGGCTCTCCCCGGTTCGCCACGAAAAGCGCAGAGACAGGACGCTTGTACGCGGCACCGCGATCGCTATCCGCACGCCGTGCGAACGCCAGCACACCCCCAAGGTCCCCTCCGGCTGTTTTCCCGCTCCCCTCTCGGCTCCTTTCTACTCGACTCCCCCCTTCGGCTCCCCCCCTTCCGCCCCCCTATGCTCCCCCTCCGCTCCCCCTCTGCTCCCCCTCGACTCCCCCTTTCACTTCCGCTTTCGACTCTGCCAGTCCTCCATCAAATGAGTCCTCTAACCCTACCCTGCACCTTGGGAATCTGAGAATTCTTAGAGTGACGCGAGAAACGCCAGACGGGTTCACCTGCTACCATTGTCCTAGGCGCCAAAACTAGACCCTATCTGCTCCAAAACTAGACCCTATCTGCTCCATCAACTCGTGATTTTCGGTCCAGTCAATAATTAGCTCCGATTATCAGGCGCGAAAAATCGACTCTTATCTGCTGACTCAACTCCATCTGCGCTTCCTGCATCCTTTCCCCCTCGATTCGCCCTCAATCTCCCCACTCCCCCACAACTCAGTTTCAAAATATCCTTCGCTCCCCCTCCACTCTCCTCCCTCCGCTTCCCCCCACCTCGGCTACCCTCTTCCCCCCACGGCCCCCCTCATCCACCTCGGCTCCCTCCCTTTTGCACGCCGCCTCTCCCTCCGTTGCCGTCGATCTCTAGGCCACCAATCATGCGCAGCTGACGTGGCGCAATCTCGCACCATATCCATCCAGCCGCCCATTGCCAACTAATCTACTGAGCCCATCCTCAAACTAGCCGTTGACTTGAAATCATCTCCCTCAAAGCCGGCATCGCCAATACGCTCCCTTCTAAACCCTAATCGCTGGAAGCCGCGTCTCTATCGTCGGCCGAATTGCATGTCCCTCTCAACATCGACGGTCACGATTCATCGTTCCGCTTTGGTCAGCCGTTGGTTCGCAACGACCGCATTGACCGTTCACGGTGCATTCCGCTCCTTGCAAGACACCGTGAAACTAGTCTCTCGTTGATGCTGGCGACGACTTCGTATCTTTCTAGTTTCTGTTGTTTCAGCTCAACTTTAACAACCATGTCTAACGAAAAACATGGCGAAACGGGTTACCGTGAATCGCTTGTAGTTGATGCTGGCGACGAGGTTGCAGTTCTCGAGCTGCTGGCGGGCCTTCTCGACCGTCTGCTCCTTCTTCTTGCGAGAAATGGCCATCTCGACCTGACACACGGAAGTAAAGAATGCATTGAACACAGATGTCACGACGCGTCAATCTGGCTTCGTTACGTCCGTGACCTTCTCCGCCGTATGCGCATTCAATTCGCGAGGAACTATCATCTCGACGTAAACGCACACAGGGAAATCCGAGTGCGAGAACAAGGAGTTGCGTCCACAATGTGAGGAGAAGTGAGTGACTCGAGATGTGGGGTGGAATATCATCATCCACAATGTGAGAAACGGTGGAATCTTAGGCTGAGAGAGTCGACTGAAGGACAGCCATGCCTGGTCTCGAGTTGGGTGGGGGAAAGACCAGGCGGGCAGAAGGTCACAGCATATGATGCATCGAACTTGATAACAAGGACAATGCACGTTAGGCTTTGAGACGTCCCAAAACAGATTTTAACGAGAGAACAAGAACAATGCTGGTTGTCTAAAAGTGGGTGATGTCATTCCACATGCCCAGAAAGGTCAAAGACTCTCCTTTGCGTGGCCGGTTTAGACCCAAGGATTCCTGACCTTGGGCATTCTAGCGCAGACGGCGCCATCTCTCCTGGCGGGAAGGCTCAAGGACGTCCGGCTTCCCCAAAACTCGCTGTTAGCCAGAACATTCCAGAGGAACAGAGCACAACGGCCGAGGAACAACGCGTTATCAGTAACGTGCTATGCGAAGCCAAATAGGCGGGAAAGCCGATATGGATAAGAGTTAGGGTTGACTGAACACTAGGGCTGTACAATACAGCGAAAAAAAGCCTAGTTAGGAAATGAAACACGAGCTGTAAGTGGAGGTTAACCGAGGGACGTGCCTGGAGGTCTTATCGAGCGACGCGCTAGGGGCCGCGGTGAGAGGAGTCAGAGCGACAGATTGAAGGGCAGCCATGGTGGCGAAACCTAATTCGGGGTACGTCTGGAAACGACTAAGTCCGACTGCCCTGAATGCGGTCGCTCTGGTGTCAGACCCCTAGAGAACAGAGGGAATTGGTAAGTAGGCTACTTGACCAACAACTAAGAAAGCGGAGGGATTCGTAAGGGGTGAGAAGGGTGATGGAAAAGATATGGTAACCAGTACCCTGCGACAGTATCGAGGGGTAGATGTGCGCTTGACGGAAAGAAGGAATTTATGATGTGACGAAAAGGGAGGGAATTTGTGCTTCGGAAGTGGTGTGGGGGATGTGTGCTGGCGCAGCCAGAAGCAGCCACGACGGATTGTGACTGTGTGACGGATAGGGTAGAAACGAGTTACATTTCGGGCTTCGCGTCTTGCCTTATATACAGTTAAATTTCACATATAAAAATATCTAAGGAAACAACATGGTGCTGTACTGTCAACCAATACGGCTGTAACGGGTATGGTGTATCTGAGGCTTTGCTGCGCTGGACACACACATCCCCTTGCCAAGGCATGGGGAAGCTGGGCGGGAACAGAACACTGAGGGACCTGAGGAAAATCAGAGAAAACCCAATTCAGTGGCCCCTTCGCGAATCGCGACATTCCCTGCGATCCAACTTCCCCGACATTCCCAGCCTGTTTCTACAATTTTCGCCACCCATGGTCCAGCTTGTTGGTTTGGTTTGGACGAACAAGGAAAGAGCACCATTCGGTTCGGTTCGGTCGGATCGCGCACCATAGCAGGGGGGCGAAATGGGTTACCGTGTGTTGTGCACGCAATTACGACCACATAAAAATTGCTCCCTTGTGTGCACACTTGCCCAATCGCTCTACTTCCCAACCAACAGAACCACTTGAACCGAGCGTCTGTCTGTGTCTCCCTGCAATTCCCAGATTTTCGACCAGCTTGCAAGCTTGTGGCGGCGTCCCGCGAACAGCATCCCTTTCGCTGCCTGCACCTCAGCGACTGTCTCATTTCCATCCGTTCCTCTCTAGGCCTACACCCCTGCCATTCTTCTCAGCGACGCGCCGTCGCAATGCCGTTGTCGCGCGTCAGCAATTCACGAAGACCTACTAGCCGCGCCGCCTCTCGTGCGAGTCCCGCCGCCTTCAAGGCGGCGCTACGGCTGCGATCTTCGCGATCGTCGCGATGGTCGTCTTCGTCGTCGCAGGGCCGCCATCACAATGCTCTGTCGCTTCTCGTGCCGCTGCTGCTGGCGGCGCTGCTCGTGCCGCGAGCGGCGGACGCGGCGTGCTCGCGCGTGCGGCAGGTGGTGGTGGTCGGCGCGGGCATGTCGGGCGTTTCGGCTGCTTACCGCATCGTCACTCACAGCGGCGGCGAATGCTTCAATGTACGTTCGACGGCCGTGCAAGATAAAATGCGGATAATCGGGGCGCTGTGCACGATGATCGCCTCAGCGTGACGGATTTGTTGACACGTTCGTTGACGTCTAAATTCATACGCGCATTCTATGCGCGTCTTTTTCTGTGTTTTATCCTTTCGTACAGCGGGTTCTGACCATCTGATTCCCGTGATTCTACCCTGATCCCCCTCCCTGCACCCCCCACCTCCCCTCAGTTACGGCAGGTCTTCTCATCTCCCTTAATTTTCCCTTGCCCCTCCTTCCCTCCCCCCTCTTTCCCTCTTTCGCCCTTTTTTTCCTCCGCCCCCCTCCCCTCCCCTCAGGTGACTGTGGCGGAGGGGCGCGGCGGCAGGGTGGGCTGCGCTGTTGCCTTTGAACATTAGCCTCTGATCTCTTTCTCCCCCTTAACCCCCCCTTCTCCCCATTTCCAGGTGACGGTGGTGGAGGCGCGCGGCAGGTGGGCTACTGGAGCCTAACAGCCTCTCATCTCAGCTCTTCCTGTTCTCCTCTTCTCCCAGCACCCCCCTCCTCTCCAGGTGACCGTGCTGGATGCGTGCGGCAGGATGGGCTCTTGCCTTTTAGTTGGACCCTAACGGCCTCTTGTCTCTCCCCCACCCCCCTTCCCCCCCTCCCAGGTGACGGTGGTGGAGGCGCGCGGAATGGTGGGCGGGGCTGTTGCAATTGGACCCTATCGGCCTCTGATCTCTACTAGCTACCCCCACCCCCTGCCCCACCCCCTACCCCCTCTTCCCCCCAGGTGACGGTGGTGGAGGCGCGCGGAAGGGTGGGCGGGCGCATGTGGAGCCGAACGGAGGCCGCCCCTGCCGGCTCGCCCACGACGTTCCTGCGAGGCGAGATGGGCGCACAGTGGATCGAGGGCGCCACAGGTAACCTGGTTACCACCACCAGACTCCAATCTCCCCCACACTCCAAACTTCCCCACACTTCAAACCTTCCCACACTCTCCAAACTGAGCGTTCCTCACCAATCCCTTGCCACTTCCTTTCTCCTCCTGCTGCCCTCTTCCCTCCCTTCTCCATTCCACTTTCTCCTGCCTTTCTTCTTCCTCTTCCCTTTCCCCTTCCACTTCCACTTCCCCTTCCCCTTCCCCCTTCCCCTTCCCCTTCCCCTTCCACTTCCTCCACTTCGCCTTCCCCTTCCCCCTCCCTCTCCCCTTCCGCCTTCCCTTTCCCCTTCCACTTCCGCCCTCCCCTTCCCCTTCCCCTTCCGCCTCTCGTTCCCCTTCCGCCTTCTTTTCCTCTTCCCTGTGCTGCTCCTTTGCCCGTCTGCCCCTCCTGCCTCAGGTAACCCGGTAACCACTCTGGCTCGGAAATTCAAGCTCAACATTGCGCAGCAGAACGGGCGGGAAATCCAATTCACAGCCAAGGGGAGGAGGTACGGGGACGCGGAGTGGGCGGCAGCGGAGGCGGAGTATCAGACGTTAGTACGGCAAGCCTTGGCCTGGGCGGGCAAGCAGAACAAGGATGTGAGCCTGCAGCAGGCGTTCACTAGCGGGCCTTGGAAGCGAAAGATGTTCTACAAGCCCTATGCTCAGGTAATGCGAAGTAGGAGGGGAAGAAATGGATGTGGGAGAGAAGGAGGGAATGGGGAAGGGCAGGGGGAAGGGGAGGGGAAAGGGCAGAGGGAAGGATTGGGAGCGGGAAAGGGAGTGGCCCGAAGAATGGTGTGTGCGTGTGGCAAGGCTTGACGGAAGGGGGGAGGGGAGGACTGGGGGAGAGATTGGGGTGGGGCAGGGTATGGGTGAGTGCAGGAAGGGCGGGCGAAGAGGGGGGGTGGAAGGTTGTTAAAGCCGGTTGTTTTTACATTCCTGTGGTGTTTCCCTCTCCCTCTCCTCGCCTAGCAGTGGACTACGAGTTCAACTTCGGCACGGCCCTCTCACACCCTCCTCATCCTCCCCCCCCCCCCCCCCCCCCCAGTGATTTCCCTTTCTCACCCCTTGTCTCATATCTCCTGTTGTGTTTTCCTGTCCCCCGCCAGTCTCGCCTGGCGGTGGACTATGAGTTCAACTTCGGCACGGCCATCTCGCACGTCTCTCATACCCCCATCTGGGCATGTGGTTATCCTTGTCTCTCTCATATCCCTTCCGTTTCCCTGTCCCTCTCTGCACCGCAGTCCCGTCTCGCAGTGGACTACGAGTTCAACTTCGGCACGGCCCTCTCACACCCACCTCATACCACCATCCCCCCCCCCTCGTGATTACCCTTTTCTCACTCACCCCTTGTCTCATATCTCCTGTTGTGTTCACCTGTCCCTCCCCAGTCTCGCCTGGCAGTGGACTACGAGTTCAACTTCGGCACGGCCCTCTCGCACCTGTCAGCATGGTACTACGACTCCGATGCCTTCGACCCGCCCACCATGGTGGTTACCAACGGCTACGACAACATCCCCAAGATGCTCATGCAGGTGAGGTGGGGAGTTGGAGTGGGAGTGGGAGGGAGAGGGGCAGTGGGAGTGGGAGTGGGAGTGGGAGGGGGAGTGGGAGGGGGAGGGGGAGTGGGAGTAGGAGGGGGAGTGAGAAAGGGAGTGGGAGTGGGAGTGGTGGGAATGGGGCGTTCCACTCATCCGTCCAGACAGGTGTAGCTTGCAGGAGCTCGCCTCATTCCTTGTATCGTGCCCCACATTCCTCACCCACTCGTCTCCCATGCCCCACCCACCTACCTGTTTCCCATGCCCACCCACCCATCTCCCATACCCCACCCACCTACCCATCTCCCATACCCCATTCACCTACCCATCTCCCATAACCCACTCACCTACCCGTCTCCCATACCCCGCCCACTCATCTCCCACTCGTCTCCTGTCCCTCACCACTCGTCTCCCATGTCTTCATGTCGCACTTGTCCCACACATATCCCAACTGCCTGTCACAATTACGTTTTCTCTAACTCTTATTCCCACTCCAACTCTCTCACTCCCCCAAACCCCACTTCCACGCCCACCCATCGACTGACATCACAGGAAGCGCAAGGAAAAGGAGCAAAGCTGCTCCTCAACTTTGAAGTCACGGCCATCTCGCAGTCCTCCACAGGCGTGCAGATCACGGGAAAGAACACCGCCAGTGGCGCCACCGGCACGCTGGACGCCGACGTGGTGATCGTCACCATCCCTCTCGGGGTGCTCAAGGCCAACACCATCGCCTTCTCTCCGTCGCTCCCCCCCCGTAAAACCGGCGCCATAGCCCGCCTGGGAGTGGGCGCAATCGCCAAGATCTTCTTCTTCTTCAACCAGACCTTCTGGCCGGTCAACGTGGACGAATATTTCATCGAGGATGCGCAGCTGCCCGCAAATCGCGGGCGGTGGGTGGATTGGGTGAACCTGAAGCGCGCGTGGGGGCAGACGGCTTTGGAGGGAGTGGCTCTGGGGGAGTATGCGGTGAGAATGGCTACGATGAGCGATGAGGAGGTGATTAAAGACGCCAAGGCGAAGATGGCGCGCATGTTCCCGCAGTACCGCAAGAAGCCGCTTGAGCCACTGGCCACTTGGATCCAGCGCTGGACCGCCGAACCGTATTCGCGGGGGGCGTACAGCTATGCGCGCGTGGGCGTGCGGGGGAACGAGGATCACTGCACGGACTATGATGTGATGGCGCTGCCCGAGGGGAGGGTGCTGTTTGCGGGGGAGCACACCATCTGGCAGTACCAGGCCACCGTGCACGGCGCCCTGCTCTCCGGCGTCCGCGAGGCCAAGCGCGTGCTCAGGAACTTCTGAGGGTGATGCCTTCGTTCTTGGATGCAGTAATCTCTCCGTTGCATCTAAAAAACTTCTGAATGTAACCCCATCCTGCCGCCAAAGCAGGAAGAGGCAGTTGGGCTTGAGAGAACGCAATGCTTTTATGCCTGTCTAGCTGCCTGCATTCCTTTGCTTTCTAGCGCTAATGAATTGGTTACGACCTACCTGTAATCCCCCATATGTGCTACGGTACCCTAGGTGTTGTGCTAAAACGGTTAAAAAAAAGGGTAAGAATTAGCATTGTCACACCAAATGCGTAAGCCCGTTACTATACATCACATTTGTTTATCATGCACCTCAGTATAAACTCACACCGCGCGATTTGCTTGGTGAACTTTCAGATCAGGAAGTCATACACCCATTGTTACGGGACTGTTTAGAAGACACTGCCTTAACTCGTACACACCTACAGATGTCTTATAATCAGGAACACCTATTTATAAGAGACACCCGCTTTAAAGACACCCCCTGTCTTCTATTCAACACTGCCTTATATCCGGGTGATGAGGGTAGGAAGTCACAAACATCGTCACTCGGCTGTCACATCAAACGATTATTAGGGATAGTCACACACTGCCTCACGACTCTATCGCGTATGGTCACACAATGATTCGCCTTGAAAGTTGAAAATACGTGAGTAAGGGTACATTTCGGACGCGACATGTCCAAAAAGAATGTGTCACAAACACGCCCTCAGAAGTCAGCGAAAAAAGGCCGATTAGAGGTAAGTTTTCAGTGCTGGGGAGATAGTGGGGCTGATGTGGCAGCATTTTTTAAAGGTGTTGGCTGAAATTTCAGTTTTTTTTTTTAACACATATTCACTGAATTTTCAGTTTTTTCTATGTACTACACACTGACTGATCAGAGTTGCCTCGAGGGGGTGGGCTGAAATCGCTTTAAAGGGGATTCGCGTAGATGCCTTGAATTCCGGCTATCAAGGTACACCGGAAGGACCGACCCCCCGTCAATCACGGCGAGATGTCAAGATTCCCCGCCAACGCACTAGGAAGTGGTGTCAGAGGTCCATTGGAGATCCGCGATTGATCATAGGGAAGGGTTACAAGCACGTTACCCTGGGGGGTTATGGATGCACTCACCCGCTAGACAAACAAGCCCCTTTACCCCAGTGGTTAGTGGCTGGGATTCTGACATGGTATCAGAGCAAAGGTCTCTGGTTCGAATCCCGGTGTGTGCACCTCGGGCATCCCAGTGCGGGGGGGTGTCAGAGGTCCACTGGTGATCCTTGATTGATCCTAGGGAAAGGTTACAGGCACGCTGGCCTGGGGGGTTGTGCGCGCACTCACCCGCTACACAAACAAGTCATTTTATCCCAGTGGTCAGTGGCTGAGATTCTGACAAGTGGCATCATTCCCGCACTTACCTTGCACTGCTGTCGTCGAGCGCAGGTCTCTTCGTTCGTGATTGGTTGTTTAGGCAACCACATCACTTTCTGGCGAATGTCACGTTAACAGCATCGCGCACGCACGATGCAACAGCACAGCACACTCAAGCACATTGTTGCCGCGCGACTAGGCAACCACCCCCACAGCACCCTCCCCGAACCTGCAACCAGGTTCGTGCATGCTGGCAACCAGCGCGTCGCCTTGCAACACACCCTTCTTCACCAGCTCCTTCTTGATTACCCCCATCCCATCTTGTTCCTGCAGGCACACCCCAACACATCCATCCTCGCCAGGGGTTCAGTTCATTCTCCGCTAACCCAAGAAAGTGCCCGGCACACTCTCTCTTCGATGTTCCGCCATGGCTGGCCATGGCGACACCCTTTCCGACGACGAGGACGGAGCGGATTTAGATGGCGCTGACGCTGACACCATCGAGGAAGCCCGTACGGGCCTCGATCTTCTTCTTAGCTCTCTAGGCCGCCATATTCAACCTCCACTGCCAACCACACCAGATCCAGATCCTCCAGTTCCTGAGACACCTGTCGAGCCTTCTAGCCTAGATTCTATACGGGCACACACTTCTGTGCGTGCTGGTGTTTCCGACACAGTTCTCGTCGGGACGTTGGCATCAAAATTGTCCACTCCGCGCAAAGTCAAACTCAAGCAGCAACGGCTGAGTTTCGGGAAGTCTTCATCAAGCATCCCAGTCTCTGAACCTGACGTCACTGAATCCACCATACGCCCTTCTCTGAACATCAACGTGCAAGAGCTCGTCAATACTATCTATGCCGATGCTTTGGAGAAGTACAAAACAAAGTGGGTAGAGAGGTTTCCGTGGCTTGTCCTAAAAAAACTGTTCGTGGTCTGCTTGCTTTCAAATGAAGTCTCTGCTCCAAGCACGCTGGTGTCAGGGCCAGCAAAGGTGCGACTGCCGTCCAGACCCAAGCGTTTCGCAAGCACGCAGGGACGCGGAAGCACAAGCTGGCATTGGAGAAGCAGGAGGCCCTACTTGCTGCCGCGACTTCGCAGCCTCGCATTAACGAGCATTGTGCGGCTGTCGACGCTGAGAAGATCCGTATTGTATCATTGCTAGACGTGCTTCTGTTCATTAGCCAGTGCGACGCACCCATGGGGACATGGGTGAAGTTGGTGCATTATCTGGCGCAGAAGGGGGTTCAAGGTTTCCCAAAGAAAGGTTACGAGACCTAATACACCATGTGAGTATTTAGTACATATGTCCTCGTAACATTGACTGCTCGGTTTTGCTAATACCATGTAATTTATTCATGGCAGGTACGGCTCTGGCGAACTCGTGCAATCAAATGCAACCTGGCTGCAAACGACTCAACTGGAGCACATTCTCCGAAGCCCGCTCATTGGCATCAGCCTCGACGAAAGCGCCGATCGCTGCAGGGGCAAGCACATTATAGTTTACGCCACGTTCATCCGCGACCATAAACTCGTGTCAGGGTTTATGCAAATGATCAATGTTGAGGAAGCTCACGCATCCACCTTGTTGAGTCTGCTGCTCTCTCAATTGCAGGCAGTTGGTATTGAATTGTAGAGGATTACGGGCATCAGCACCGACGGTGCTGGGGTGATGATGGGGAGTCGAGCTGGACTGGTGGTTCGCCTACGAGAGAGGGTCCCACACCTTGTACTCGTGTCACTGCATCGCCCACAGGTGCGGGTGTTGTTGCATCTTGCCCGGTCTATTTGTTCATAGTTCTAATACATTTATATTTCATAGCAGGGAGGCGCTTGCCGCTAAGGAGGCGGCCAAATCTCTACCAGTCTTCGACATGGTTGACGATATCGTCCGCGTGACGGCTGACCTTCTGGGACGCTCTGCCCCGAAGCACCAACAGTTCATGGACCTCCAACAACTCTTCAAAGAGACAAGTCTGGAAGTCCAGGGCATATACCAAGTTCGGTGGCTGTCTCGGGGTGAAGCCATACTTTGCATCCTTGCCGTGTGGCCTGCAGTTGTGATTTTCCTCAAGAAGTACCATTTCGCTATGTATCTGCTTGCCACCTCGTACACGTTTCATTTTTTTCATGTTCTTTCTGGCTGATGTTCTTGAGCACCTGAACCTCCTGAACAAGTCCTTCCAGCAACGCTAGGTAATTCAGTTTGACTGAATATGTTTTACATTGTCGCGGAAATTACCATACTGACACTGTGTTCCTCCCCTTTCTCCCATTGGCAGTTGGATCTTATCTCTCTTCATGCTCAAATCAAGCGCACGAACTCACACCTGGAGAGTCGATACGTCGACTGTGGGGACGACTTCGGCGGTGGCTTGAGCCGCTGGCTCTCTCCCTTTATCGAGCGCTACGGTCCTGGAAAGAAGCGCGGCGTGACTGTAGAGGGAGTCTACTCCGACGGCCGACCCGAGAAAATCACCTTCACGCTCCACAGCAACCCCGTGGATGGGCATGATTGCCCTGCGGATCACGACGGATGCATTGACCTCTGCACCGACTTTGCTGAACGCATCATGACGAACCTGGAGAGGAGGCTGGGTGACCTGGACTCACTGTCTGGTGTCAGGCTGTTCATGCCTGATGAGTGGCCGAAGGGCAAGCCGGAGTGACATGCACGATGTGTGGAGTGGTTGCTGTTCAAGGCTCAAGATTCGGAGGAGATCGTGCTAGGTAAAGTAACCATCGTTCATCCCGGTTGCTCTACCTCTGGTAACTGCCGTTTGCCCATTCCCTAGTGCCACGATTCACACTCAGCCTAGTAGCTCATGCTGCCTTGTTTGCCTCTCCCTAAACCCACTATTACGCCTTTCAGGAATCAACAAGCGACAGGCACAGAAGGAGCTTCGGTTGTTCTGCTCTATCCTTGCTACTGCACCACAGGGGGAGCGGACGTTCCACGAGGGCCTCACCGTGATCCTGAAGACTCCAGACTGGCGCAAGAGCTACCCCAACCTCGTGCAGCTGTGGGTGGCAGTTGCGGTGATTCCCCTTAGCACTGTTGAGTGCGAAAGGGGCTTCTCGTGCCAAAACGTCATCAAGTCGTGGCTTCGAGGTGGGCTGAAGGATGCAAGACTGGGTGACTTGATGTGCTTGTCTCCGATGCCGTATGAGCCGGTGTTTGACGAGGTGGTGGACATCTGGAGAAGCTACAAGAAGAGGAAGCCGTTTTCAAACTCCCCCATTTCCACCCCAAGAGAACCCAGCAAGAAGGGGAAAGCTGTAGCCATGGAAGTAGAACACCCCAAGCCTGTAGATGCTCTCGACTTATCTAGTGATAGTGACGATGATGAGGATGAAGATGATGTTGATGAGGATATGGCATACGTAGTTCATGCACCGTTCTTCTCTCAAGGCTAAGATATAAAACGCTTGCTGTTGTAGGTGGGACAGTCCAAAGAACGTTCAGCCTATTTTATTTGGTGACTCTAATTGAACAGCTTTTGTACCACTGAAAAGTAAGTTTTTTTAACAAACAAGACACTGATAGGTCAGCCAATAGCATCCTCCAGAGACTGACGATTCAGCCTAGACTAAAACGAAATCTGAGGCCCTGATCATAAACGTATTTTTGACTGATTGTAATACTCC